AAAGCAATGCGTTGCAATTGCAATTGAAACCGAAAAATCTTTGTTTTTTAAACCTAATTTTTTGGGAAGGAATTTTTTGCTTTCGCTGAGTGGTAAATTTTTTTTTTTTATTTTTCTGAAAAAAAAAAAAAATTGATCTACATAATTTTTATTGCATACAAATACAAATAGAAAAAAAAATTTGATCTATGTAATTTTTATTGCGAAAAAAAAAATACAAAGAATAATAAAAAATTATTCAGTGTCACAACTCTCATCACCGTTCGATCAAATAACAAACTTCTTTAAAAAAAAAAAAAATGTCTTTTTCAATCAGAAAAAGAAGCAGAGAAAATGAAACGAGGAATGATGTGTGTTTTAAGGATGGTGGTGGTAGTTATCGCCTGCCACTCGTCGTTACTCTAGTTTCATTAATATATTTAACCAATATATTAGAGAAAAAAAACCAAAAATTAAAGGTCAAAATGACTTGGAAAAATTTGATAAAGCTAGAGAGCTTAATAAGCATCTAGAAAAAATTCAACGTGATTACACATGGGATTTAAAAAATCAGTTCGTCAACGTGCTACTGCCCTGTATCTTATTGACAAGCTTGCATTAAGAGCAGGAAACAAGAAAACTGGCAAAGAAGCAGATACTGTGGTTGTTGTTCCCTCAGATGTGAACATATTACTTTGGTAACACCAAGGACAGTTGAGTTTGATTTCTTAGGTAAAAATTCAATAAGATATGTAAACTCAGTAGAAGTAATAGAACAAGTTTTCAAAAACCTTGAAATATTTATGAAGGATAAGGAATCCATTGAAGAGTTATTTGACAGATTAAGGTACAAAAATACAAGATTTAAATTTAATCAATCACATATATGTGTGTGCATTTGTGTTTGTTCTATATATTAATCAATTCAAATTTTCTTTAAAAATTCATTTAGACTCAAGATTTGAATAAACATTTGTCTGAATACATGAAAGGACTAACCATCAAAGTATTTCGTACATACAATGCATCTTGTACCTTCCAAATTGAGCTAAAGAAAGGGATGGAGAATGCTACTACTGTAACAGAGAAAATAGCAGCATATAATAAAG